AAAATTATGAATATGTGACCATTAATCACAAAATGTGACTTTTTTATCTTTATTTAATAAATATTTTTAATTAATTAAATAAATACCTGATTTTTGAATTTTTAAACTATTTACCTTATTTTTGAATTGAGGTAAAGAAAACACCTTAAATATGATTTTTTCCCAAATAAATATATTTACAGTAAATTTAAAAAGAAAAAAAAAAAAAATTGGCCCAAACGAGCCTGGCCCCTTGTACTGTGGGCCTCATAACCTTGGCACCACACAAATCATACCCATAGTGCTAGTGGGTTGTGCAGTGTCGAGACTCGAACTTGAGTGATTAATCCCACATTTTGCCCCCATAATTTGTTTGCCATTATTTGAAATTGTAATTTTTGAAATAGTGTTTTTTTTTTCTAAAAGCGTGTTGCTAAAATGTGGGAAGCACGAAGCAACGTAATAGAAAGAGTGAATAGGAGGAAATTGTGGGAAATGTTCAATTTTGATACTCAATTTTTAAAAGAGTGATGTAATTCGGCATCATTGATGTCAAACACTAGTTTATATGATAACTAGTCTATGTGGCTTTAAACGATAGATTCAATGAAATTTATTTAATTTCACATATAATTTAATGCCACATTAACGTCACGTAAACTGTATTTTCATTTCCAATGAGGATAAATAGCATTACTCTAATTTAAAATGTAAAGTATTGAAATATGCAGTTGAGCATATTGTATTTATAAAATCGTTTGAAGATCCTTTGAGCTGTACTAATCATGACAAAATAGAATAGCAAACAGCTTAATCATAATTACAACAGCATAAAACATGTAGTTAAGTGGATGATTCATTCTTTTATTTTTTTAAATAAAAAACTATTGGCAACTAATTATTAGGCCCATGTTTGATAGCCATTTTTCCGTGTAGTATGTGTTTTTTAAAAGAAAATTTTGGAAAAATATGTAATTAAAAAATAAAAAAAAATTGGGATTTACGTAAAAAAAATATTTTATTGTAAAAATGTGTGATTGAAAGCGAGTATGGAAAAAAAAAATTGAAATAATGGTTGTCAAACGGGCTAAACTGCACATTCATAAAAAGATTTTCTTAAGTCGTTTATTAGTGTTTGTTTGACATTGCTTATTTGAAAATCACTCATTTTTATCTTATTAAAATAATTATAAATATGATTAATAATTTTTCTCTATATTTTAATTATTTGTTCTTTATAAAATCATTTTTCACTTTAAATAATTCCTCACAAACAAACTCTTAGATCTGCATCTGCTTTAGCTTGGCACGTATTCTTTAAAATTTATTTTTTTCTCAAATTCATTTTCAATTATACATTTTTAAAAAATAATTTTACAGATAATTTTTCCTACTTTTAGTTGAACATTTATCATAAAAAATTTACTACGAAAAGTTACATCAAACGGATCCCTGACCCTTTCACGATTATTTAAAAAAAAGGTGCAGAAAAGAAAAAAATAAAATCCAAACTGTTATGACGTTAACGTTGACATTAACTCAAATCAGAATTGTTGTTTTTCCCGGTCAAATATATACAAATACAATATACACAGATGAACCGGTTCATTTCCCCAAT